AAATAAATTTAACAATATTAAATAGATAAACTACGAAATCTTAGACCTTATGAAAGAACGAGACAAATTGTATAAAAAATAAATTTTTACAAAATCAGATGATGATTGGCAAGTCTACAAGGTCTGCAGAAATAAAGTAGTGAGTCAAATAAGATTAAAAAGGGAAGAATTTTATAAAAATATAATAAAAAATAATAAAAATAACAATAAATTATGGAAAGAATTAAAAAAATTACTTCCCTCATCAAAAAAACGAACCTGTGATACAATTTTATTTGGTGATACAGAAGAAAAAGAAGATGCTCTTATAGCTGAAAAGTTTAATTTGTATTTCCTAGAAAGTATTAATAAAATTAATAAATTACTTCCACAAGTTAAAGATTATTCTTCAGTATTGGAAAAAATTAAAGCCAAAGGTTCATTTTCAACTTTTAAAAAATTAACATTGGAAAAACTTAAGAAACATGTCTATAATTTAAAAAAAACTACAAACACTGAAGATCTCGTTAACACAACAATGATAAAGGACGCATTTCAAGTTATTGGTGATCATTTTTTACATTTCATAAATAGTTCCTTAAAATCTGGAATATTTCCAGAAGCATTAAAGACTTCTTGTATAGTACCTATACCCAAAGTTATGCATACAAATCTTTGTGATGAACATCGGCCTATAAATACTGTACCTATTTTGGAAAAACTTTTGGAAATGGAGGTGAAAGACTAGTTACGTGAATTTTGTGATTTAAACAAAGTAATTGTGGAAAACCAGTCTGGTTTTCGGAAAAATCATTCCTGTGAATCGGTAATTTTGGATGTATGTGACGAATGGCTAAATAGCTTGGATAAAGACGAGTTTATATTGGTGGTGTTCTTGGATTTTAGGCGTGCTTTTGAGACTGTGGATAGAAAACTATTAGTATGTAAGTTGGGGAAGCTAGGGATAAAGGAGACTGTGATAAATTGGGTGATAAGTTATCTAAAAAATAGAAAACAAAAAGTTAAATTTAAAAATATTATTTCTAGTGAAATAGTAAATGATACTGGTGTCCCACAGGGGACCACCCTTGGCCCTGACCTTTTTAATATATATATATTAATGACATAGTTTTTTATATAGTTTTTTCTAAGATTGTAATGTTCGCTGACGATACAATGTTATTTATAAAGGGAACGGATTTAAATACGATGGCAAATAAAATTAATTCAGATTTATCAAACCTTTATGTGTGGCTATGTAATAATAGCCTGAGTCTCAATATTCAAAAATCAAAGTTTATGATTATAGGTAAAAAAAGTAAACTTTTAAATCTAAATATAAATGTTCCAATATCAATCAATAACGTTCAATTAGAAAGGGTTTCTGAATTTAAGTATTTAGGTGTAAAAATAGATGAAAATCTTTCATTTAAAAATCATTTTGAATATGTCCACAAAAAAATGTCTCAAAAAGTTTATTTTTTCCAACGAGTCTGTAACAATCTAACAATGTCTACAAGAATCCTACTTTACAAATCAATTGTTAGCCCACATGTCGAATTCTGCTCATCACTATTTTTACACCTAAATAAAGAAGAGATTACCAAACTACAAAAAATACAAAATAAAGCAATGCGCTCCATACTTAAATGTAATAAATACACATCAATTAAAAACATGCTTCAAGCCTTATGTTTATTGAGTGTTGAACAAATTGTATTGTTTGGGACATTTAATCTTATATATAAAATAAAACATAATATGGCACCTAAGTATTTATGCAATAAGGTATTCTTTATACGACAAGTATGTACATGGGCATAATACAAGAAATGTAAACGATTTTTTCATAAATATTGCAGGGTCAAAAAAAAACAAAAATTAATTTTTTTTTAAAGGATTAACTTTATTTAATAATTTGCCTAACACAGTAAAAAACTGTCAAAAATTTAACACGTTTAAAACATTGTTAAAAAACATATTTTAGAAAATAACGTTGGCCTATTTTGAAAGAATAATGGATGTGTGTATGTGTATATGTAGATGGATAAAATATGTAAATAAGTGTATACCTAAATGATTTTTTTTTGTATTTTGATATATTTTATGTACCTGAATTTTATCATATATTATTTAAGTTTTTAATATAATTATTGACTGTTTTATAATAGCTTTAGCTAAATAAACGTATTATTTATTTATTTTATTTTTTTTTTTTTCATTTCGTCTTTTAGCTATTTCTGTCGATTTTTTTCCTACCTACCTATCTATTATGACCTTTATAGAAAGAAGCCTTCTTCCAATTTGTTTATGTAAATGTTAACAGTGTGATAAATAATTTTGTAACTGGAGTAGCAGAGCAGAGCGATACTTTAATTTAAGAGCCGTAAAGTTACCTGTAAATCCCGTTAAAACGACAAAGTAATACGGCAATGTTGTTCTGGTTGCGGCTTTCAGTTTTATTGGCCCGTTCAGTTGCGTAAGTACGGTCCGGGAATCGTCGAGCGCAGACGACGACGCCCATAAATTAACTTTTATCGTATATCATTGTCGGCGAAACACCGGAAATCAACTCCCGATGCTGTTCGTCTGCCCAGAAATCATAACTTCGCATTTCCCATGGGAGAAATATTCCTATCTTCCCTCTGGTGTCCGATGAAATTCTAATGTATTAATATATACGGCATCGGCAGAGGGATTTTGTCGATACGGATGTTATATTGTTTAATAATCGTGAATCATTTTTGCCCGATGGTTAATATCCAAACATTGCTTATTGATTGCTTGGGAGTGTATGACTAAGCCTGAAGGTATTGCTCTGGGGAACATTTAGGTAACAAATGAAACATATCCCAAACGTGGCATACTTCAAGTGAATTAGTCAAAAATTACTAATTGTAAATTATTTTTGACATTGTCATAGCGAAAAAGCAGTCAATAACTATTTAAATAGTAAAAAGTTACCATTTAAAAGTGAAAATTACTATTTTATTAGTAAACAATGCTGGTACTAATTCAAATGGTGAAATTTGACTATTAGTTTATACACTAATAAATAAAACAGATTTGTAGTGCTGTACAATTTGGCCGACCAAACCGGCCATAAAGTTTAACCAGGTTAATTAGTTCATCAGCCAACTAGTTCATCCAACTTAACCGGTTAAATCAATTAACTACTCTCTAAAAATGAACTAGTCAAAAATGACTAATTAAATAGTTATTAGTGGCTGCTTTTTCACTTGTACCGTGGTTAACCATGGAATACCATGGTATCCCAAAATTTAACATCCAATTCTTATGAAAATTGTCCCTTGAATCCGAAAATACCGTCAAAAATTATGATAGTAAAGCAGTTTTTGAGATATAGTCAATTCCATATTAAATGGAAAATTAACTATATCTCAAAAACTGTTCTACTTTTTTTACTTTTGACAACATTTTCGGATTCAGGGGACAGTTTTACATAAGAATTGGCTGTTAAATTTTGGGATAACATGGTATTCCATGGTTACCCATGGTACAAGTGAAAAAGCAGCCACTAATAACTATTAAATTAGTAATTTTTGACTAATTCATTTTAAGAGAGTAGTTTTCCGGTTTAATTGGTCAAACGGTTAACTGATTAACCAGGTTAAAGGTTAATCGGTTAAACAGTAATTTTAAATTTTCCCATATATAAAGTAAATATGTTAAATATATATATATATATATATATATATATATATATATATATATATATATATACCTTTAACCTGGTTAATCAGTTAACCGTTTGACTAATTCAACCGATTAACTAGTTAATTAGTCCTTCCATTGGGCAAATTTTAAGTATTTTTTTTTTACTCAACACAAGACTAATTTAAAGAAATCTTTACCTTCCATTAATTACGTGAGGAAATTTTGTAGATTTTTAAGGTATAAGTTACTTAAAATCAATAAACGTACCTTCTCAATTTAAATAAAGGCACCAAAAATTATAATGTATTATTTTGGGCACACCCATATGGGCTTGAACATGACTTAAATGCGAGATTTTAGCACTCCCGATTTTCTTTCGGCATTCGATTTCTGGACTCATAAGAAGGTCAGAAAAAAAAATCCACCGTAATCCTTAGAGCCGATTTTGAAAAAAACGACTTTTCTTAAAGTTCAAGAAATATGCATTTTTAACGCGTCTCCTCTTGGACTTGGAACACGCTCAATTTGGTAGAAATGTGATATCCGGACATTTCAGAATGGAAGACTAAAGACAGACAAACCTTTTCCTGGATACAGACCAAAAAAAAATTCTTCGTGCGAGTTTCTGACGAAAAAAGGATTGAAAAAAAAACTGAAATCTCGATTCTTGAACTTATAATTTTATTAAAAAATAATGTTCAAATAATAATTATTATTGTACAAGAATAAATAGTTTGATAATTTTGAATCAATGTCTGAGGTAAAGAACATGTTAACAGTGATACAAAAAAAAAACAAAATTCTTGGCTTTTTTAACCAAATTTGCAAATCTACTATTGAGCGACAAGTTATAACGTTAACGCTTTAACTAGCTAGTTATAAATGAACACTATTGTATTCTCGGAGTGCGGTCAGTAATTTACTTCCATAATCTGGATGACATTGTTTTACTTTATATTTGTCCCAGGTAATCCCAAAGTCATGGTGGACAGATCCCATGGCCTGCTCGCTAAAAAAACCCAACCCTTGTTTGGTTTTAGCGACAAACTCGGTTACATGAAAAAACACAGCATGGATCTTTGGAGTAACACTGATCTGTAGATCTAAATAACTTCTTTTAAATCTGTTTATTGCTTCTGTGTAGTTTGGTTCCAGAGTGATTGAAAAACAAGATTTTACCACTGCTCGAAATTCTCGGAAACATTTAACATAATTTAGGCAACCCGGTCTGCATAAATTTTACAAAACATCAGTTTTATCCAAAAGCAGTTTGCATGAGTTACCCGCAAATGCAGGGGCCCCATGCACAAATTCCTGGCTGACATTGCATTTTTTGGCCCACTCTAAAGATTCAAACTCAAACTGCAATTGCAATGCAATTCAGGGGGTGCAATGATATCAAGAATCTGTCTGGAGTCATCTGTGCCTCTTGAAAGAACAGGCAAATTTGAGCAATTTTTGTAATTTTTTGCAAGGGACTTTTTGAAGTTGATCTTTTCCCATTCTAAATAATTTTCTTGGCAGTTTTCTATAGTTCTCTTCTCGCCACAAGTGTCCAAACTTTCTTTCGAGGCCAAACACCAGGTACATGGAAAGCTACTGGCATGAGACATGATTCCCACCAATATATTAGCGAGTTTCAAATCGGTTGCAATTGTGCCCGCAAAATCATTGATTTGTAAGAGAGACCATAACATTCTGACATTTTCGTGGTTTTCTTGTGTGGCTGCAATTATTGCGAGAATAAATAATTTTTTCACTCCGGAATCCTTGAATCTTTTTGCCGCTACGCCCGCTATATATTTTTGTCGATTATCTATTACAGCAGAATCAGGTTCTTGCACTGAAAGGCAAATCTTGAGAAACCCTCCTCCACCATTAATTCCAAACTTCAAATAAGAATTATCATTGTTTCGAGTTCCTTTTACATAAGCGATTAAGGCCGCAACATCTGTACAATATGCCAATATTTCTGTAGAGGTCGTTTTCTCGCCAGCTTTGGACGTCATTATGGGGCAACTTTTGAAATTAAAAAATGCATCTAGCCTGTGGCGGTATGTAGATAGTTTCGTCTTCAGATGGGGTTCAAACAGGTTTCTTTTTTGGGAGCCACCCCGTAAGTCCCTCGCTATTCCCTGAACTACGTTGCTGGAGAGACCGTAATTTGTGGCTATTTTACAAACATCTCCCGCGGAAATCTGTTGCGGGCCTATAGTTTGATTATTTCGTTTCGGGGTGATTTTAATGTTGAGTGCCCTTCCGTGGATCTGGGATAATGTAACGGTTTTGTTCCCCGAGCTAAGCCCAGCTCCCATGGGAGTATTAGTATTTAAAGATATGTCCTTTATCAAAGAACATGCCAAATGTTCTCTCTGTTTCGGGGGAAGCAAGTTACTTAAATGTTCTTGGAAACTCGGGAAGTGTTTGTCTGGGCTACAAAAATGTTTTTTCCCTACCGAATAAGTTTCCCCACATTTTCTGCACTTGTTGCTTCTCTTCTTTTTGTTCTTGGCGGGTTTTTTGGTGAAGTTATATGGCCCTGGATCTCGTACCAATTCACACAATGTGCAACTGCACAAAGCTTGAGTTTTTGCCCGAGTATTCTTCTAAATTTTAAATTCTGTATAGTCCGGGAGAGCTATTTCCCCGATATTTCCACACTTCACTGACCGATATACGATAATTTTGCAAGCGTTACATAAAACATTGGGAAGAAGTTCATCTTGTTCAGCATAATTCACACATTTTTTTAGATTCACATATAAACTACCACTGATTTTGACCATTTGTTTCTTCTTCTGCAGGCAGAGAAAACATATCCGCTCCCGATTTTCTTGATGGGTTCCTGCATGATCCTTTGATCTTCTGTCCATACTTTCACAAGAAATTGAAATTTCGAAGAGAATAATAATTATTACAACTTCAACAGTTAAGCCTAAATTATAGATTGCCTTCCTTCCTTCCTCCCGTAGTCGTGCCCGTACGATTTGTGCGTCTTGTAAAAAGTCAATTTATAGATTTCCGTGTAAAATTCCGTAACCATGCGCGATGACACCTAAAATGGTTGACATTTATTTTTGTTTATATTTTGCGTTTTACCCTTTGTGTGTAAATATGAAAGATAATCATTTATATATTAGTGCAGTGATCACAATTTTAATTGCCCAGGCAGCTTGTTGTATACTGCCCAACTATCGAGAAAGGCAGTAACTGCTAGACAAGAAATTTGTGGGAAATTAGCATAAACTACATTTTTATAAAAAGCAGTAGGTATTTAACTGATTTATTTAACTTAAAAGATAGTTTACTGCATTTCTTTGTTGAATTAAGATACAAAATGTCCATAGCTTTATCATAGCACAAGAAAACGCATTTGTAGTTACTGCCTTTCTTTATAGTAGGGCAGTATAATGAAAAAAAAATCGAACAAGACGTTGGACCCGGAAACTACGGGGTTTTACAAAGAAACGTTTCTAAAAATGAAAGACATTGATCATAAACAATATCTAAATATCCTATTTAGATACACAAATTATTTAATAAACTGAACACCTATAGGTATACCTTAAATAATACTAAACAATCATGTATTTTAAATATTTTGTGTCTACGCGCTGTCACCCTACAGCTCATGTCCATAACAAGCACTGTGATTGGTCATGTCAAAGACCTTTACGGTGAAAGATAAAACTTAAAAATTTCTACGGGAGGAAGGAATGCCGTCCTTACGATACGGAAATCTATAACTGGCACTACAATTTAAATAAACATTTTTGACGTAATTGTCACCATTAACATTGCCCGTTATTAATTTTAATTAAACTTAACAATTATAGATACTTTAAAAAATTAAAATAACTTCAAAATATGATTTTGTTAAGAAAATATTTTATTCTTTGATTTTTTTTTATTACTATAACTGCAAAATATTATCACAAAGTATTAAAAATTCCTACACGGGAAATGTTAATGGTGACAATTACGTAATGTTCATTATATAATCTATAATTCAGGCTTTACTGTCAAACGTCAAACGTCATTGTCGCTAAATTATGGAAGTCTGGCAACTAAAAGTGAGTGAAAGGTAGAAAAATCCCGATATCTCGAACAGTGAATTTTTCTCTATTGCAAAAGGGTGTTTTATCGAAAACGGCTCTAAGAATTACGGTAGATTTTTCTTTCTGGCTTTCTTATGACTCCAGGAATCGAATGCCGAAAGAAAATCGGAGGTGCATGCTAAACCTTCGCATTTGAGTCATATTCAAGCCCACCGTGCCATATCTCAGTTATTAGACATGGGACCCACATCAAAATTTATATGAGTTTATAATGATACTATATAGACAAGTTCTGCGTAAGCATAATTTAAATTGAAGTTTTCGAAAAAAAGTTGGTTGGTTGGCATTTTGTTTAAAATATTTTAGAAAAATATACTTAAATGGATTATAAACGCTTTTAAAATTTCAAATCGATATCTTTTTTCGTTCTCCAGAAACTTCTAATGTACCACCCAACCCAACCCAACCAAGTATGTGAAACACCCTGAATATATATATATATATATATATATTTGATTTCATAAATTGAAATTCAATAAATGATCTAAAAATGGAAAAATAATGTTTTTTTGTGGTGCTTGAGTCTACAATTTGTATATAAAATATCTCGAAAACAAGAGCTAACCTAAAAAAACGATTAACACTATAAGATTCAGCGTACTCCAATTAGGTAATCCCCCTTGGTGCCCCGCTTCTTAGATTTTTGAACTAGCACAGTGTAATGGATAAATATAAATATTGTTTTATTAATATTTTGCTGTATCTACTGAATATATGATTAGTGTGGATCTCTACAAATATTTCCTTAAATTGCCACCCCTGGGTTGGTTCGGCGTTTTAAATTACAAAGTTAAAAATTTTAACTTAAAATATCACCTGATAAAAAATAGAAGAAAAAAAACTCGTCAAAAACAAAGGTTTATCATATAGACTTATTGTATAAAATTCTGAATTTTGTTTTTTATTTTTTTACTTTTATTAAAAAAATAAAGCTGCACACCATTATGAATCATCGTTATTCGTTACCAAATGGGACCAATATCGGTATCGGTGTATTTAAAAGTATTTGCACATGGCCTATAAATATCCCTACATTGCAAGAAATTTAATCTAACCTTGTGATGTGTTTATGGTGGAAACACCGTTTCATATAATCCCGAGCGCATTAATCATGGCTGAATCGGCCCCTTGTACATACTAGATTATGCAATAAATATCGAGGCAATGCATGTTTCGCATTTTGAGAGCACAAAGGCAAATTTTTGGGGAAGAAGATACAATCTGGGGCGAATGGATAAGGATGGTTGAGACGCGCGACAGGAATGTCGCAGCCATTAGTGTTCGTTACTCTTTTCGGGTTAACTGGATACACCGGATCGTAATTCGATTCCAGGTGACACTAATAAATATATTACCAAGGGAGGGAGCATCATGATCTATGATCTTAAATTTTGTTTTTAGTAAACAAGGTTTGTTGTTAACTTCGTAATACAACACTTACCATTTTTCTTCTTTCATTCAATTTTAATAGATAAACTGAAACGATAGATTTTGTTGTAAAAGCATAGAAAAATAAAATACTACAATATACTATTTTTAAAAACCCAATTTTAAAACGCCATAACATTTCACATTTATGGATTCTAAAACTCATAACGACACTTATTAAGTTGGTGTTAGGCGCTTTATGTCGTTTATATAAAGTTTGTAGTTTCCGATGAGTTCAGCGAAGTTGTCTGGTACGTGACACTGCAAAATGACTACAAATTTATTCTAAAAAACTATTAAAATCCGCATGTGATTTAAAACTATGGAACGACTACTTTGCTAGCCTTTTTCAAATTGCTAAATTTAAAGAAATATTATGGAAAAATAAAAGTACACGTTTCAATAAAAATATAATTTTATTTTATATTTTATCTGCATCAAAAACGTCATATTATAATACACACTACACAGCGTGTATATACACCCCAACACTAGCAACGTCATGGCAGCCTAGAAGGAGGAGAAGAAGATACAATTTTGACATTATTCTATTGTTTTATTCATGTAATTAAAATAAAAATGTTAATCTTATAATAATATAATATAATATTAAACATTACACATTTACATTTACACTATTATTTTGAATTTTTTATCTCAACAACATTATAAATCTAGGTATTCAGTTATCTTTAATTAATATAAATATTAAACGAGCAGTTCTTGATTTTCAATATTTTAAGGATTCTAACTACTTTCTGCTAGTGTTTATTTTACCATTAACAAAATTCACGACAATGGTGGTACTAAACTGGGCACCAGTCAATGTGTCGCGACCAAAAATTTCGTCCTTTTTTAAAACGACATAACTTTTTTGTTTCTTAAACGATTTTATTTTGGTTTGTGATGTCTGCTAGCCCCATTCTCTGGAAATTTATGCTATAGAAATGAAGCTCACGGTTCTTCAAGTAAATTTCCTGCAGGGTGATATGTAAAACGGTGAAAAATTTCAATAACTTCATCCAAGCCCAGTTTGTAAAAAAAATATTTTTTCTCGTTTTTACTTTGAAATAATGAAGTATTATGTCTTACCTTGAAACATTTTTCAAATTTTTCGAATTGGAATCTTAGCAACAAAAATATGATTTTTTTTTCAAAAGATTACATTTGATGCTTTTTTGTAGGCAATACACTCAGCCTTTTTAAGATAAAAAAGATAAGATGGTGAAAGATTGTTCCTTGAATAATTCTGAACAAGCGACAAGCAACAAACTTCCATTAATTTCAGAGGAACCTAAGCAAAGACCACTTTTTCAAAATGACATTTTGGAGAAAATTTGCGAAAACTAAACCTGAACCGATATTAACGTTCGTGACATGTTTGCTTTATAATTTTGACCTCCTGATGTGATTCAGTTGTCAAATTTAAGTTTTAGATAAAACCAAAATCACCAAGAATCAAAATTCGAAAAAAATTCCCGGCTGTTAAATGTCTCAATAACATGCCTTTGCCAATGCCATTTGGTGATTCATTTTTTGGGAGAAGTTACTGCAATTTGTTTGAGTGGTTAGGACAATGTTACATAAATTAGATTTATATTGCGCACTAGTGATAACTTATTACTGATAAGTACCTACCTAATTGGTAATAAAGTGCAAAATTTGTTTGTTCCTTTTTGAAAATTTTATTCGAAGTTATAATCATAATAAAAACTACAACATTCAACAGAAAAATGTAACAAACAATAACAATAATAACTTCTATATGTCGTTGGCCCTCCCCTAACCCGTAATAATTCGTTAACCCTCCTGGGCATTCCCTAGACCAAGTTCCTTAGAAATTCCTGGGGTATGGCTTCCCATTCTTCCTGAATCGAATTTACCAATTTATCCAAATTTTCCATGCGTCTTTTTCTCTCTTTTATCTTTAGTTTTATCCTGCTCCACACATGCTCAATAGGATTAATATCCGGAGACAAAGGTGGCCAATTCATTCTCTCAATATCATGGTCCCTTAAATACTCATTTACGATATTAGCGCGATGCGGACGGGCATTGTCGTCCACCAACACCAAATTATTGGCATTTAATTTTCATCTTTTGATTCTTGATTTGATCATTCAGTGACATGATAATAAAGATGCAAAACACAGTAAAAAAACCGTACAATCCATCAATCAGATTTTATTGAGACATTTAACAGCCAGGAATTGTTTTCGAATTTTGATTCTTGGTGATTTTGGTTTTATCTGAAACCTAAATTTGACAACTGAATCACAATCAGGTCAAAATTATGAAGAAAACATGTCACGAACGTTAATATCGGTTCAGGTTTAGTTTTCGAAAATTTTCACCAAAATGTCATTTTGAAAAAGTGGTCTTTGCTTAGGTTCCTCTAAAAATAATGGAAGTTTGTTGCTTGTCGCTTGTTCAGAATTATTCAAGAAACAATCTTTCACCATCTTATCTTTTTGTTTTTAAAAAGGCTGAGTGTATTGCCTACAAAAAAGCATCAAATGTACTCCATTGAAAAAAAAATCATATTTTTGTTGCTAAGATTCCAATTCGAAAAATTTGAAAAACGTTTCAAGGTAAGACATAATACTTCATTATTGCAAAGTAAAAACGAGAAAAAAATATTTATTTTACAAACGGGGCTTGGATGAAGTTATTGAAATTTTTCACTGTTTTACATATCACCCTGAAGTAAATTTACTTGAAGAACCGTGAGCTTCATATCTATAGCATGAATTGCCAGAGAATGGGGCTAGCAGACATTATAAACCAAAATACAATCGTTCAAGAAACAAAAAAGTTATGTCGTTTTGAAAAAGGACGAAATTTTTGGTCGCGACACATTGAGTGGTGCGCAGTTTATTTCAATTAATAATTCCTGAAATTCGTTCCAAAACTGCTGGTTTGTTCGAGGTGTACTTTTTAATGTAGCCCTCTACAACTGTGAAGGATTACCAACCAACTTGGTGTTTCAGTTCATCCATACTTATTCCACTATTCACCATAATTGTTGCAGACAAGAAAAAAAATAATTTCCAAAAAGTCACAAAACTCCATGTTAAATGAATGAAAAACGTATCGTCATTTAGGTAGGATTAAGCGGCATCGCATTGTATTTTTTGAAATCTGGAGCTTAAGTGAGATGGGCACTTACCAAATGTATTTATCCCCAGGACCTGCTTAAAGCATCTTTTATTGGTGTATTTTAAAAATAGTAATAATAATAATAATAGGAACGTATATTTAGCAAAACTATTGGTTCTTATCTTAGGATAATACAATATAGTTTACACGGGTTTTTTAATATTTTCTTTTTTTTTTAAATTATTAGTCTTTAGTCTCATTTGGTAATTTATTAAATATAATAAGGCCATTTTTAAATACAATGTTATATATATTGTACAGTTCTACAAGTTTCAAAAATAATTTTTATTTATTGTTAGATAATTGTGTATATATTCAACATATTTTAAATTATTACAAATATATTTTGGTACTTTACCATGTTTCTTTTTGTAAATATAGTTCATAGTCCTAAAATATATTCTTTGTTTAACACTTCCAACATTATTTTAACATTTTTTATTGTGTATTTATTACATTCTTAAATATGCCTCATACATTTGTTTTGTAAAATTTGAAATTTTGGGGTTTGATTTTATATAAAACTGTAAAACAATAATCAATATGATGAAATTAATCTTTAATATAATAACATATTATATTTACTACCTTAAAACATGTATTTGCATATACTTTTATTCACACTAAGAATATTATCACACAGCCATTTATAAATATTATCAAGATCACAGTTTATTTTATTACCCATTTCCCTAATATTTGTTCCTTTTATATAATTTATTCTATCATGGGCAAAAAGTTTACTACAGTGTTTTTATATATTTTGTTATGTCATTTATGTATAATATTAAAAGCAAAGGCCCTAAAACAGTTCCTTGTGGGACTTTACGTCATGTTGGCATTTCACTAGAAAATGTATGGTTAAATTTTATTTTGATATCTTTCTGTAGGAATTTAACCATTTTAAAGCTATATCACAAATTCTCAACTTCTACAACTTTTTTAATAACAAGAATCTATAGATGTATATTTTTGATTACCTGTATATTGCACATTTAGACACATGCCATTTAAAATAAAATATGTTGAACCTGTTAATTTTTCACCCAAATAATTTGCATTTTTAATTCCATTATCCCATTATATACCTCTTAATTGATTCTGAAAGTCAATCTTATTAAATAAAATAGTTAATCGTTGAAAGCCTTCGGACGTAACGAAAGATATTTTTCAAATAACTGAACATATGAAATACTGGAGCTATTGGGGACAGCAAATTTTGGACCTTTCTCGGTTTTAAATAGACGAATGTTCTAAAGCTTATTGATATCAGACCTTACAAATTTATGATCTTCTACAAAAACCAAACGGTATGTACTTAACCTTTTAAATAAGAAACTTGATATTAGGGACTTCTGTTCGGGTATGTACTACCTTTAAAATTAAGCATGTACAGTCAGGAGTATCAATGAAAAATGTACGCATTTCTTCTTCCACAAAAACTTTAGATTTCTTAGGGTTATATCCCTTGTTAGTTTATTTTATAAAACCATGAAACTTATGAAATGATGATAAGTTAATCGCTTTTTCGATTCCCAGGGTTGTCTGCAACTTCGAAGTTATAGCCAAAGAAATGAGGATTTACACTTTTTTTACTGTAAAAAAATGTGATTTTGTATAGAATTAAAGATTAATATTACAAATTCCAACATAAAGACAAGCATCACAGATTCATCCAAAGTACATATTGTCCTTTTTTGGATTTTATATTCTTTTCGGTATGATAAAATTGTATATTATGTTTTATTTATTTTAATGCAATAAACACGAGAACAAATTCTACCTGTTTATTTTAATCAACGGATTTACATGAAAGAATGTCAGTCAGGAGTATCAATGAAAAATGTACGCATTTCT